TGGGAAGCAATTCAGACTGCAAAGCTTTGGTGAGAAGTACAGCACGCTGCTGGAAGGCACAGAGACAGGCCTCTGAAACGAGAGGGCACCTGCCCCATTTTGCCCTTTCCTCTTGTGGAGGGCAACCATGGCCACTGTCCAGGCTGGGGTAGGGAAGGGGGCGCACCTGCCTGGGAGACAGGAAAGCTAACAACCTCGTGATCCCCTCCCCTTCCACCTCCTTCCATCTAGAGCCCAAGCCCCCTACTGTTCGTTATTTGGGACCTAAGAAAGAACGCCTTGCACTGTACCTCCTGCACACCCAGGGGCTGGTCCCTGAGCATGTGGAGACCCGCACACTATACAGCGACAGCCAGCCAGGCATCGACCAGGTATGAGGCTCGAGGGGCTGGATCGGGAGACCAGGGAGCCCATCCATCCAGGACATAGCCATGACGAGAGGGGAAGGGGAGGCCAAGCATTCACAGATGCATGCGCACAAAAGGTAAGCATGTTCTGTTAGAAGTGAGAAGTTCCAATGATGTCACTCAGAATGGAGAAATTCGGAGCAGGAAAAGTGGTCTACAAGAAACCTAGGCCGTACATCAGTTGGTAGAAGCGGTAAGGCGCAACCTTACCAGCCTACGCTGCTTTAGTCTCTCCTGAGGGAGGGTGGGGAGGTAGCACCTGGGGTCAGATGTGCAGACATTACAACCCTGGCTTACCTGTTAATTGCAGGCTGTGTTTTCTCCATGGCAAGGAACCCCAAACAGAAGGAATAAAAATCCCCATGGGCACCCTAATTATCATCCACCCTCTACCCTCCAGCCACCAGAACAGCTCATCTCATTCTCCAAATTTCTCAAGCTGATACCACATTCCAGACACAAAGTTCTCTGCTGAGCACTTTTTATAAACCATTCTCATTAAACCTGTTTTCTTAAATGGGGTCAACTTCAAAAGAATAAAATGAGGTCAGTTTGAAAGAATATATTTGTCTATACCTTCCAGTGTTAGTAGTTCTACTCTTTTAGTTTTTTCTCTTCCTTTTTCTCACCATTTTCATCCCTCCCTTCTTAAGACAGACCTCTATGTTTGGTGGACAGCTTCATACCCTTACAATATGCTTACACAACATAAAGCAACCTGGACACTTGGACTGATCATCTAGTTTGCTCTTTTCTTGGGGCCGCTAAGCTGGTTAATAAATGAAGCCCCAACCCCACTGTGGTGCTCTGTCCAGAGAGGCTGAGGAGCACGGCCTGCTCAACAGCATTAACCCCCAGTCACAAGTGATAACCCGCTGTGGCCATCAGCCTTGAAGCCATCATACACTACCAGCCTTACTCTGTACCATTCTTCCAGCCAAAATGAGAAAAGGGAATCTGGCGGGGAGTTGCCAGACTTCCTGTCTGAAGTCCATTCCATCTCCTTACCCCACCCTCCTATGGTGGGGACACAGCCTCCACAGACCCCAGAACCTGGGACAGGGCTCCCAGGTCACAGCATGCTCAGAACAGAGGCTGGCAACCCCCAGCCAGCTAATCCATCTCTACTCTAGGGAAAGGTGCAAATGTGGGTGGACATCTTTCCCAAGAAGCTTGGGCCTCCTGGCCCCCCAGTCAACATCAAGCCCAGAAAGCCTAAGAGGTAAGTGACCTACCTCATCCCCATCACTGTACTTCCCAGGGCACGGAACATGGGTGTGCTCACACACTAAGGAACAGCAAATTCCTTCCTTCTCTTGGGAGTCCTGGGAGCTTCCTTCCCCTGCATCCTCCCAAATGTGGCGTGCCTGGTGTGGGCATGGAGGGCAGCCTCCCAGGCCTGTCTTCCTGCACCAAGTTGGGGAGCTATTCCTCAGCAAAGCCTCAGACTACAGTGGCTGCAGGTATGAGCTGCGCTGCATCATTTGGAAAACTGCCCAAATGGACCTGGGGAAAAGTCTATCTGGCGAGATAAGCGACATCTATGTCAAAGGGTGAGAAAGATGGCAGGCCTCCAGCAGTGTTCCCTCAGAGTTCCCTAGTTGTATCATCCCTATGCCTCCCACCCCCAATTCTGGGGCCACATCTCTCCACTCCCACCCGTGCCTGGTGTCTGTTGAGCAGTGCTTCCCACAAGGGGAAGGGGAGGGGGACAATACATGTGAACCCCAGGTGAAATGACTTTCTCCCCAGGTGGCTATTCGGGCTAGAGAAGGACATGCAGAAGACAGATATCCACTACTACTCCCTCACTGGGAAAAGCGACTTCAACTGGCGGTTCATCTTCACTATGGACTACCTGGCAGCTGAGCATATGTGTGTCCAGAGCCAGAAGGTAACAGAACTGGGAGTGGGGGTGGGGGCTGTGCTCCCTCTCCCGCTTCCTCAGAGAACTATAAGCTGAACACTTGGAATGTGGCCTCAGGCAGAAACTTCTCTGAGAGTCTATCACTGCTGGGTAGTGGGCTACTAAGGGGGCCAAGGGCAATCTCAAGGGAGACAGGCCAGGAATACGCTCTTCTGTCACCCTCCAGGACTACATATGGAGCCTGGACCCCACAGTGATGAAGTTCCCAGCCCGGCTCATCATCCAGATCTGGGACAACGACATCTTCTCCGCTGATGACTTCCTAGGTGAGATCTGGAATAGGGTCCATGACCACAGGACAGGGAGTTCCTTCTTGCTGACAGCATTTCTCTGGGCTCAGGGCTCCTGGAGCTGGATTTATCTGACATGCCTCTACCAGCCCGGCACGCCAATATGTGCTCCATCAGGATGATGGATACAGATTCCAAGTGGCCTTACTTCCTCCAGTATAAGCACATCTCCCTCTTCAAGAAGAAGACTGTAACGGGCTGGTGGCCTTGCCAGGTCCTCGATGGTGGCAAATGGCGCTTGTCGGTAGGAGCTGGGGAAGGTGTCTATTGCATAGGACTACTATGCCACGTAACTTGGCTCTAACAGACTTCTGGGGACCTTTGCTAAATCCCTTTTCCTTTCTATGGGAAGGGGTCTTAAACTATTCTCGCACCTGTTGTGATGAACTCAGCCTCCCACCACCTATGGTGTTTCTAGGGTAAAGTGAAGATGACGCTGGAGATTCTGTCAGAGAAGGAAGCCCTAATCAAGCCAGCAGGGCGAGGCCACTCAGAACCCAACCAGTACCCTACACTTCATCCTCCCCTGTAAGGGTCCTGTGGGACAAAGGCACAAAATCTTTCTTCCTCATTCACAAAGCTGAGCTGCTAGGCCCGGCAATTTGAATAGAGTGGTGAACATCGGGCCTATAAGTGGAGAGAGGTTAATTACTTCCTAGCATGCCGGCTCAGGGCTCAGCTACAATCAGGAGAGAACAGCCTTAGTGAAGGGGAAATGGGGGGCTGGGGACACACAAGTAAGCAGAAGTTGTTTTAAAAAAGAAAGCTCTTGGGTCCAGATTACTTGACCTGAAGGTTCTCTCTGCCTTCCATCCTCTGACATCTCCTCTGCTTATGGACAGACGACCCAACACCTCGTTCTTGTTTCGGATACCTGTTACAACCTTGTGTCACGTTTTCTGGAAACGCTACCACTTTAAAATCATAGCCGCTGCAATCATATTTATTATAGCACTTCTGCTGTTCAACTTTATCTATTCAGCCCCGGTGAGTGACAATCCTGGGGACAGGGACAAAGGCACTAGTTGCTCTTGGGATGACTCTGAAGAGACAGCCTCAGGTCACTACCTCAGGCTAACAGTTGCCTTTTCTCTCTAGCATTACTTGGCCATGAACTGGATCAAACCTGGACTTCGGCTGAGTGCTCCCCTTAAAATATATAGCAATGTCATCAATCCACCAAACACCCGCATTGCCAACCCTTCTGTCCTCACGGGCCAGCATCTGAACCTAAATCCTGCAGCAGACCATGAGCTGAAATTCCTCCAGGGACCTATGAATCACCCGCAAGACATTTTTCCAGAACTTCCAGCCCTGCAAGACTAATTGGCCCAGGTCTGCTTGGCTTTTCTCCTGCCCAAGCCTTACTCTTGGGCTTCCTACCAATCTCTCATTTCTATCTTCTAGGACATATGCAAGGGGCTAAGGATATTCTGGCCATTCTGTTCAGAAACCACTTCCAACAAGGACAGAGTTGTCATTTTCCCACTGAAGTAAACAAGTTTTGTCACAGAGAGTCACCTTATAATTTTGGGGGTTGAAGACAACACGAAAAGCAAGACTCACAAGGACAGGGAACAGTGTCCTTTTTATACACCACCTCTAGTCTTCAGGGTCTCCTCCTCTCTAAGAGGCTCTGAAGTCAGAGGGCAACCAAGAGAAAGGGGGACTGTGAGGAGAGAAATGGCTCACGTGGGGTAAGCAGCTTGCCAAAATCACTGTTCCCACCCCTACGGTACATGCACAAAAGAGCCATGCCACAGACCAGGCATCTCCCTCTAGGGCACACCTAGGATTATGGAGCCCAGAACAGTATTTGGTCCCATTCACAATGAGAAATATTTATTTCTAAGAACGAAAAGCAAGAGCTAGGGCATGACCTGCCATGCTAGGTTAGACAGTTTCCTTGCATCACACATATCTCAAAGGCTGGCCCTACGCTGGGTGGGGACTGCATTTCATGTCTTCCCCATCCTGTTTAAAAACCCTCAAGGAGTCCATGAGTGGGGAAACATAAAAAACTCATCTCACACACACACCCTCCCCCATGATGAGACCCCTTCCTCCCACACCACTGCCTGGGCTATCTCAAGAGCTCACCTAGGTCCTCCCACCACAGGGGTCTAGCCAATCTCCCCCTGAGCTCAAAAAAGACAAAAGAGCCGTTTGCTTTGTCAGTTCTAAGTGGTCCTAAGGCCAAGCTTCAGGTCACAGTTTGTGCTCTGGCACCCAATCCTGGAGCTGCTCTGCTCTTGTGGGGAAGGTCTTAGGAGGACCCCATTTTACTCCCACCTATAGGAGAGCACTGTGGCCTGTGATGCTCACTTACGCACATGGGAGGGACAGAAAAAAAGCCCAACACGACAGAAACTTATATGCAGCCAAGGTGCCCTCCTTTCCTTCCGGACTGAGCTGAGGGTTTTCCCAACCCAAAAGAAGGCAGGACAAGGGTTGACAGGCTTGGGGCTCAGAAGAAGGCCTAGACCTTCCCCCAAACCTACCCCTCAAAGGAAGGACACTGTTTGATTTCCATCAGTCATTTTAAGAATTTCCCTTAGGCTACAGAAGTACATGGCTAGGAGGGCTCAGAGCTCCAGGCCCTCCAGGGAGACTGGCCTATTGGCCAATTTAACCACAGGGCAGACAGGTGAGCAGCACTTGACCCCTTGTCAGATAAGGCAGTGGAACAAGGATTGACCCACAGTGGATGACACTCAGCCTCTGTCACTTAATGACAATGAACCCTTCCAGGCACAGATGACCAGGGTCTATTGCTCCCAGATTTGCAACAGGAGTTCAGCAACAGTTTCTTATCCATTAAGAAAAAGAAGCCAAGTTTCCTCTTTGGGGAGTATCCAAGCGGAGGCTATAAAAAGAAAGCTTCCTTAAATTTTGAACACTCAAAGTGGGATTCCAAAAATCATGATAAACACAAAACATGCAGGCTCCAGAGTCCAGAAACATCTCCACATGGCAAATGTTGCTTTTGGTGTCAAAACATGGAGCTGGGCAGTTTCACAGTTACTCCTATTACATCCATGAAGTCTTCCAAGTTTCTCTTGACTTGCACACCAAGTGTGTCAAACCTGACTGAGGGCCTAAAGAAACCAACTGGGAAAGTCACAAACCAAGAGAGCCAAGTTTCACGCTAAAGAACAATCACTAGAGCAGTGAGCCAAAGCAAAAAGCCCTTTCCCCATGGCCACCTAATGAGGGTCAGCAAAACCTAAGTTTGTTCTGCAGCCCCAGGCTCCAAAAGACAGGCATCCAGATGTCTCTTCCAGCTCAGGCTGCATTTGGAGAGAACGATGAATGGAGGGAGAAGGCAACGCAGGGAAGAAGTTTCCATCCAGATTTCTAACGAAAGTTCCTCAAGTGGACAGAGGCTTGGATGAAAAGCAATGAATGGAAGCCTGAAGGTCTGGGGAGTTATCAGTGTTGTATTCTTTGCAGATTTAAAAATGAAGTACAAGGGTCCTCTGAGTCCAACAACAAGGCAGCCTGAGCTATGAAATTCTTTTCTGTGATTTTAGTACCATAACCGCATAAATTCTCTCTATCCTCTTAGCTCCCAAGTGGAAGGACTGCAGGGAAAGGCACGTCACAGCAGCACTGCCCTGGGGTAGGTGGGCTTCCTGAACCAGAGTCAGATGTCCCCATGGATTACCATGGTAATGCAGTGTCCCTGCATTCAAAGTTCCAGTGACAGAACAGAGTCCCTGACCAGCTGTTGGAGACTAGAGAAGGCCGGCCAGGCTATATGCTCAGGCCAGTGCCTGCTCCTCCCACACCTCATAGTGACAGCCACAGGGGCGGCAGTAGCAGGACGGCTCAGTAGAAACGCTTTCGGCTCTGTTCCTGCCATTTGTTGTAGAGTATGATACCAATGACAATGGCAAATACGGAAAACACCAGCGAGAAGAAGACGATGAGGAAGAGGGCCAGGCCACTCAGGGGCGGCAATGGGGCGGTCACTGAGGAAGCAAGAGAGAAGCAAGTCAGAATCAGGGAGCCCACCCAGCTGGGAAGATACAGAGTCTCCAGCTTGACACCCATTTCTGGGAGCCAGAAATGATAGACTCTCCCTTTCAGGATGCCTCAATTTAAAAACTGAGCAGCCCTGGGGCGCCTGGGTGGCTTAGTCGATTGAGCGTCTGACTTCAGCTCAGGTTATGATCTCGTAGTCCGTGGGTTCGAGCCCCATGTCTGGCTCTGTGCTGACAGATCAGAACCTGGAGCTTGCTTTGGATTCTGTGTCTCCCTCTCTGTCTGCCCCTCCCCCACTTGTGCTCTGTCTCTCTCTCGCTCTCTCTCTCTCTCTCTCTCTCTCTCTCTCTCAAAAATAAAAATAAACATAAAAAACAACAAACAAACTGAGCAACCCTGCTCATCTGTAACACAGAGACAAGTGGAATGGAAGGAGCGCCTGCTCCATGTTGTTTAGTGGAAGAGCACAGAAAGGAGACGGCCCCACAAGCTGCAGGTGCAAGTCACCCCAGACCTTCCAGGCACGGTGACCTCCCTTTGACCACGGGACCACTTCCCAGGATCCCCTGTGCTCACCCTCAGGCAGCTTCATGTTGTCCACTGAGGGCAGGAACACATCTCGATGCAGTTTCTCCTCTTCTGGGGTTCTCTCCACTGTCAGCTCAAACAACTTCAGGGAAATGACATCATGATTATCTAAAGGAGAAAAGCACAAGGAGGACCCAAACCACCTCAAACAGAGGTACCTTGGGACTTTCTTGGTTCAAGCTTCTGATCCACAGCTAACTAGCAATGACTTTGTTTTTTTTCGAAATTTACTTATTTTTTAAGTAATCTCTCCATGCAACATGGGGCTTGAACTCACAACACGGAGATGAAGTGTCAGATGCTCTACTGACTGAGCAAGCCAGGCATCCCACTAGCAGTGATTGAGAAAAATGGTTGGAACCTGTTTTCTCATCTAAAATCAAGAATAGGGAACAGAGAGAATATTCTGTATTACTCAGGATTTAAAGTTTTCATCAACAAGCATACATTACCTATATAACTTTAAAACTTACACATAATGCAAGAATGAAAGCCCATATCATATGTAAAGCCTTGTAGTACAGTGAGGGAAGACACAGCACTATAGCTTCCCTTCCATGCAGACACACACACGCAAGACAGGAAAGGGCCTTGTGGCAGCTGATTACTAGGTCACAAGCAGGGCATAGCTACTGGCATGGCACACAGTTCCCTTCTGGACTAGGCCTAATTCTCTGCAGCTCCTTATAACTGTGACTCTGAATCTCACTAATAATTACAAGAGAAAGGATCAAGCAATTAAGGGCTCCTTTTTTTCCTCTCTTTTTAAAGTATCATTAATAATGGGGGCACCTGGATGGCTCAGTCATTTAAGCATCTGACTCTTGGTTTCGGCTCAAGTCATGATCTCTCAGTTCCTGATTTCGATCCCTGCATCAGGCTCTGGATTGACAGTGCAGAGGCCATTTGGGATCTCTCTCTGCTCCTCCCATTCTCCCTCTCTCTCTCAAAACAAATATATAAACTTAAAAAAAAAGTATCATTAATAAACTCATAGATTCAAACATATTTGATGTGTTTCAATACACTGAACTTGTACAATCTTATAGGTGCTCAATGTGACCTATCTCCAGTGAGAGCCTATTCGAGTTGGCTTTTGAGTCCTTTTGCATGAACCCAGAAATGTCTGATTCTTTATTGCTTTCCTGGGAGGTTCCCAGTTTATCCATTTCCTGCCTCAGCCCTGGCATCAGCCATTTCTCCAGGAAGCTCTTGTTCTTTCCTTTTAGCATGAATTGGTATTAAGAGACCACAAATCTGAATGCTAGGGGTGCTCATGGCTATTAGGGTTGGTTATTGGAGACTGGACTTCTTGCCATTTCCCTTTTTTTTTTTTTTTTCATTTTAACATATATTTTATTTAACCCAATATATCCAAAAAAACTATCATTTCTACATGCAAATGATAGAAAAATTGTTGATGACATTACGTTCATTTTCTAAGTCTTTGAAGTCTAGTGTGTATCCTACATTTATAGCACATGTCAGTTTGGAATCGCCCTATTTCAAGTGTCCAGTAGCCACCTGTAACTTGTTGCTACTATACTGGACAGTGTTGATCTAGATCATTATTCTAGTTGACTTCTGACATGTGTGTTGGGCCCAAAGGAAACTCTGATCCTCATAATGTAACACAAGAGAAATATATTTGCATAGGGTACTCTCTGCCCTCTCTGCTTCCAGCTGAGGAACTCCACTTTGGGGTGATAATTTGGGGACCCCTCAACCATTCCTTCCCCAAACTGCCAACTTGTGTCTTCTCAGCACATTTTGTCTTGACTTCTGGCAGAAGAAAGAAACCATATCATGTTCCCACTTTTTTCTTCCTCACACCTAGATGACATCCTTTGAACCAAGAAATTTAGAATTTTTGTATATGGGGGAAAATCCATCAATGTCTCACATACTAGGATTATTCCAATTGCAACTCTGTATGGTCCAGGCATGGTACACCAGGAAGCCTGGTGCACCATTTCTCTGTGATTCTCTCCACTCTGCCCTCTTCTGTGATCTTCATCTCCCAGCTGCTGGCAAGATGGCTGCCCCAGCTCCAGGTATCCCACCCTCCCTCCCTTCCTGAAGAAGGAAGAGGGCCATTTCTATTATTAAGGTGGCATTTACAGCTGCTTAGATTCCTATCTTTAGCAGACTCCCAGAGAGGAAAAAACTAGATTTGCCTTCAATTAGAAAAATGTTTTTGCTGTCAGGAATGAGTTTAAGCCCTGAAACGATAAAAAGATGGGCCAATGCTCCTCACAATGTAGGGGCATCAAAGGCTGGGGGTACTGAAATGTGTCCTTTCTCATCCATTTTCAACAATTCACTGCATAACAAGAAAGAAGATGTCAACAAGAAAGACCTTAAGAGAAAGACATAATTTGTATTTAGGGATATCCCACAGGCAGAGAACAGAGACTTGTTAATATAGGCATTATCACTAAACATCTAGAGCAAAGAACTCCTTAGGATAAAAATTACTCTACTTCACACTAGCTTTATTCATAATGAATTATACTAGTCAAAAACCCCCAAAATTCAGTGCCTCACCTCTTCTCAAAAGAAGTTATGATTAAGGCTCAAGCCAAGGGAGAGAACAAACATATAAGAGGAAGTTACAAGTTGAGAACAAGTAGGAAGAAAATCCAGAGATAGAAAAGTAAAAGAACCAGGTACTATTAATGCCACATAAATCAAGAACAGCTGGAGTTTGAGAGTAACTGGTCAAACCAGCTGAAGAGAGGACAAAGAATGGCGACTGAGAACAGAGTACCATGGTATGGCAAGGACGAAGCAGGTCTGAGAAGAGTAGTGCTAATGGCTTGACCGAGATGCGTGGGAGGTCTGACTACAGGGTGGCAGAGCAGTGGATGGCCTGGAAACAGAAGCACCTGTGCACAGGACACATTCAGAAGTCTGAGCACAAAGGAAGATCTGGGGATGAGTTCGAAAAGGGAAGGCAGAGTCAAGGAATTCAAGGAAAAGCTTTGTTAAGAGAAGGGGCACCAGAGATATCAAAGTACAGAACTCAAAACACAGGCCTGATGAAGAGGCAAATACTACTTTGCATTAGCACCAACCATCTCCTAGAGCCAACTGGACTAGGATAAGGTAGGCCTGGGAGGGGTGGCGGGGGGGCAGGAGGGGGGTTAAGGATACAAAAATGTCAGAAGAGAGGCACTTCCTGGGTACTTGCTTCCCACAGTTCTGCTTGTCTGGCTTTCCCCTCTGAGAAGCCTCACCAAGGCCTGGCTATCGAGACATGACCTCACTCAGGACAAATAAAGAGTACATGGGGCAATACCCGAGAGATCTCCAGTGATGGAGGAGGTACCAAAGTAGTAGCCCCGGGGCAGACGAACACCTGGCACCTCAATGCAGTCCCTCCACTCATGCTTGCCATCGATGTCCATCATTATCTAGAATAAAAAGAAGAGATAAATCAGGGCCATGAAAGCAGGTGCAAGGTAGACCATACCACCAACTGGTCCAGAAAACAAGGACTCACCGTCAGATGCCTCTTGACATAGCGAATCACAAGGAAGGTGTCATAATGCAGATTGCGGACAATGGCTGTACAGCCCCCCAGCTCTGTAGGCCGCCCATCCCGCTCATGATCATAGCTGAGGGAGCCATTGTTCACCATGGCTGAGATGTAAGGGAATACCCGCTGGGAAAGCAGGGAAGGAAAAGCAGAGGACAGTAAGGAAGTACTCTTAGGAATGCCTGTACAAATAGCAACAGAATTGCACACATACAAGCTGAGCCCTTTCCAGCAGACCAGACGACCATTCTGCCTCATCATCAGCGGCTCCCTAAAATCCACTCTCAGATGGTCACTCAAAGGATATAGCCCAGGAAACAACTGAACTCTGTACTTGCCTTCAGGAATCCCCTTGCTACTAATGTGGGGTGGGTCTGAAATGGCCCCTCTGGAGTCTTGACTTGAATCCTTCCAGAGATCCCTATTTGGCATTTACACATGACTCAGGACTGGTGGTTTTCTTTTTATGTATATATACCTATCTCCCCAACTTCCATGTAAACTCCTTGAAGAAAAAAATCACTTATACTTCCTTATGTGTCTCCACCTTCCATCCCTCCCAAACCCCCTTCGCCCACCCCTACTCATCCCCAGGGTAAGCATTTTGCATATAGCAGATACTCTGAAAATACCTGTTTGATCAGGAAAACCTTTCCATTCTGGATAGCTCCTTTCAAATTCTCAAATCCTATAAGCATATGATGGATGCCATGTGGATTAGGACTCAGAAACAGCACTGCCAGAACCAGGCTGCCAGATGGTGTTCTCCAGCCACAACTGTTCATAGTTGAAAGACCTTCCAGCCCACTTCAGCTTCACCTACACATAACTTCTGCCAGCAATACCCTCCCACTCCCACTACCCATTTCCCACCAACTTCAGAGGCTTTCTCTCTCTCCAGTAGAGTTGTAGGAGGGAATGCTTCCTCAAAAATGATGCCCTAACTATTTAAGAACCAGCCCAGTGCTGAGGCAGTGCAGAGGCAGGGTGATGAAAGGAGAGGAAACATGACACATGACACATGCCACTTCTTTGGTGACTTCCTCATTGCCCTCAACAGTCAACATGCAAGGTGGAGATGCAGTCAAAATCAGAGAATGGTGACTCAAGACAACAGCCACACGGGTGTGAACAGGGGCAAATGGTGGATGGACACGCAGGGAATAAGGGATGGCCATGGTGGGTCAAGACTGAGTACCTGGACTCCTGGAGAATATCGCCTCTTCTGGGCCTGAGAGGGTCCAGCAGGTTATTATAAAAATGAGAGAGGACACAGAAGACAGGAGACCAGGTCAGAAAGAAACAGCCATGGAAGAGCTTTGACCCAGCTGTGGTGGATGAGCAAACCAATCTAAATCCCCAAACAGAAATGTAGGGTCTGTGGAGGGCATTTAGCAAGTCCTTACACCCCTCAAAATTGTGGGCAAAACTGTGCATAGAGGCTTGTTTGTTTTCTAAGGAGAGGGTCTGTTAGTATCAATCCCAAAGGGGCCCACTAAGAATTCCTCTGAGGCTTTCAGAAACTTTATAATATAAACACACAGCACTACATTATACCAGAAGGCCCCACTTATGTCTCTGAGTCAGAAGGCCAGGCCACATGTTTTGTCTGTATCCAGAAGACAGTATTTCTATAAGAAGGGGAGAGACAGGACTGACAAATAGGGCTAACTTCTTTCGAATTCAAGATGGCCTTTACTACCCAGAATCTCAGGATACAGCTGTTGCCCAAAAGACAAAAATCCTACCACTTGAGAGACAATGAAGTTAACTCTAATCCAAAGCGATCATCTACCCTCTAAGTGAGCTTTATGGACATATATTTTCCAAATAGCTTTGTCATTCTAACCTACAACATGTGGGTAAGGAAGAAGCTCCATGGAAGCATGGTGGCATGGTAGATTTAGAAAAACCCCGAGGCTTGAGGGTAGTCAGCTTTGCTCTAGAAAACTGCTACGGTTCTAAGCTAGAAGCAACAAGAGGTATATACACAAGCTCAGGCCAGGCCTGCCCTACGGGAAGGATGTGTGAGGGTGTAGAGCCCGAAGCATTTCTTCCTCTAACACTTAGTGAGCACCTATTAGGAGCTAGGCACTGTTCCAGATTCTGGGGTTCAATGGAAAACCAGACAGACTGGTATCTGCTGTCACAGAGCGGACACAGAGTAGAAGAGACAAACAATAAACAAGCAAATAAAATTATTTCAGAGAGAGGGGTACCTGGCTGGCTCAGTTGGAAAAGAAGCACGCAACTCAAGATCTCGGGGTCGTGAGTTTGAGCCCAAAGGTTGGGTGTAGAAGATTATTTAAATAAAACTTTTTTAAAAAATTATTTCAGAGAGGGATAATGCTATGATGAAAAATAAAAGAGGTAACAAGATAGGCTACTGAGGGAATAGCTCTCTGAGGAGACAACATTTGAGCTGGTCATTAGAGCCACCAAAAGATCTGTAGGTGTAAGAAGCCTGAGGTTGGCATATTTGGGGACTAGAAGACACCAGTGTCTGAAACTCAGCCAGTGAGGGAGAGGTGGGTGTGAGCTGAGGCACAAGCCAGATCACACTGGGCCTTGGAAGCCACAGTGAGGACCGTAGGGTAAGCCCCCCACTGCTCTGCTCTTATGCCACTGGTGGAATATGCACAGGACTACAGAAAGGTACAAAATCAATCAGTGGATGACTAAATTTCCCCAAACTACTCTTCTACATCTATCATTTGGAACAAGGGAATTATGAGTATGTTGTCAAGCAGAGTACAGAAACGGGCTTCTGACAAGAACGCTCATCACTTCAGTGAACAATTAGGGAAAAGGGAGTAACAATGCCCTGGGTAGCCCATTTATCGACCCTAGTACGCATGATCAGAAGTTTATGTTGCACCTTTCAAAAGGGTGCCTCAGACAACTGTCCTTAACCGACAGCAGCCTTCCTCTTCCCAAGGCTGGTGAGGCATCCGATTATCCAGGAATAGCCAGAGGGAGGCTGGCCCCCAGCATCACCTGCAGGAGTTTTCCAGTTGCACATACATGTGGGGCTCTCAAAGAGTCTCAGTTATAGGTCTAGAGGGGGGCACAGGCTTATGTATTTTTCAAAAAGCACCACAGACAGTTGTGATATACAACCAAGTTTAAGAAACACTGCACCAGACCCAGCGCCCCACACCTTTGAAGCCAGAATCTGTCTACTTCAGCAACTCGTGACACGGCCTTCAACTTTTCACCTCATACTAGTAGTAAGTCTTTAAATGCCCTCTTATTTTCCATGCCCAGTCAGGAGTTCTTAAGTGTTCCTTGGGAAGCCACTAATTTCACACAGCAGCTCATTTTCTTTCCTTGGAAAGCAGCCTATATATAGCAAGAACCAAAGGCTGAAGAATCACTCGGACTCAAGGAGGGTGGTAGTTTCATTCCTAATTTAAGAGTCACTAAAAATTAGGCACTCCTATCTATCATCCAAATGATTATTGACTGTAGGGTGAAGGAATATTTCCAAATTTTTGTACTATGAGGACACTTCAAAAAAAAAAAAAAAAGAACCCTCTACATGGTAATTGTACCTTCAGCCTACCTTGACTGAAGGGAGACCCATGAACTTGTGGATTTATGGATCCTATGCTAAAACTCCACAGATCCCAAGCACACAAGTAGTGTAAACCACTAGACAGAAAAAGGTGCCCACACGGCCTCTGTAATCAGGGAGACCTGGGTTCTAACTGCAGTTATTATGCCACTCAGGGGTGTATAACCTTGGGTGGATTACATTAGCTCTTTGAGATTCCATTTCCTCCCTGTAAGCAGGCAGAATAACACAGAGCTCACAGGCCTGATCGTGAAGATACAACGAGATATGTAAAGCATTTAGTACAGTGTCTGGCATTCAGGAGGGAGTCAATAAACATTCATTTAATCAAAGACTAATGAATTTCTAGACAGAAACACTATTCACAGGTGCTCATATATAAGCACAAAGCCAGGGACACCTGGGTGGCTCAGCTGGTTAAACGGCTGACTTTTTTTTTTTTTTTTTTTTAAGCAGCTGACTCTTGATTTCAGCTCTTGATTTCACGCATGATCTCATAGTTTGTGAGATCGAGCCTCACGTCTGGCTCTGCACTGACAGCAGGGAACCCGCATGGGATTCTCACTCTTCCTTTCCCTCTGCCCCTTCCTGGCTCTTGTGCACACCCGCTCTCTCAAAATAAATAAATAAGTTTTTAAATAAATAAATTAATTAAATAAGCACAAAGCCAAATATGCATCTTCTACAGAAGGCCACTGGCTGCCACACACCAGTAAAATCTCCAAAAATATCTTGGGGATTAATGGGTTTCCCTTTTCTGACCTACTAAATATTAAAATAGAACAACCATCTATAATAAATATTTTGAAAAGAACACCAAAAGGGGCGCCTGGGGGGCTCAGTTGGTTGAGTGACCGACTTTGGCTCAGGTCATGATCTCACGGTTTTCGAGTACGAGCCCCGCGTCGGGCTCTGTGCTGACAGCTCAGAGCCTGGAGCCTGCTTCTGATTCTGTCTCCCTCTCTCTCTGCCCCTCCCCCACTCATGCTCTGTCTCTGTCTCAGAAATGAATAAACATTAAAAAAAAAATTTTTATGAAAAGAACACCAAAAGAGGGGCAACTGGGTGGCTCAGTGGGTTAAGTGTCTGACTTCAGCTCAAGTCACGACCTCACAGTTCATGAGTTTGAGCCCTGTGTCAGGCTCTGCACTAACAATGTGGAGCCTAGTTAGGATTTGTTCTCTCTCCCTCTCTCTCTCTCCCCTCCCCCAGTTGCATGCACACCCTCTCTCTTTCAAGATAAATGTAAAAAGTCGGGGCGCCTGGGTGGCTCAGTCGGTTAAGAATCAGACTTCGGTTCAAGTCATGATCTCAGTTCGTGAGCTCGAGCCCCGCATCGGGCTCTGTGCTGATAGCTCAGAGCCTGGAGCCTGCTTGGCATTCTGTGTCTCCCTCTCTTTCTACCTCTCTCCCACTCACACTGTCTCTCAAAAATAAACATAAAAAAATTTTTTTAATGTAAAAAGTTAAAAAAAAAAGAACTATATGTTTTCACAATAAACAATTTAGCATTTATGAAAATTCATTTCACTGTTCCTATTTGTTAGACCAGTGAAACTTGTTACCAACCAATATGAGTTCATGAACCTTTAGGAGCCGCTCTCTTAGAGCAGTTTTTTCCAATCTGAGGTATCATGCAGTTGGGTAAGCTGGCCAAGTTTGCTCTCTGGAACATAGACATGAAGAAAAAGAGGGTGAGGAAGAGAGGGAGAAAACAGCCACAGCCACTATTGCCAAGATGTCTGCACAATGTTCCTTGAGAATGCCAGTTAGTGGTATGAACGAGAAGAGCTAGCACTTTTGGAACACTTCCTCTGTGCCACGCACTGTGCTCAGTCATGTACACGCACCTATTTATTTAATCCCCACAGCTTTAAGGGGTGGGATTAGTATCCCCATTTGGCTGGTAAGAAAACTTGTGTAAGTAGTAAAACCAGAATTTGAAGCCAGGTAGTCTGGCCCCAGAACACTGGCTCAGTCACTGTGCTTCCGTATATACTGGTAGAAACCAAAAAACAAAACAACAAAAACCCTAGTTCTCTAATATACCTTGAAACACAGAAATATTAGAGGATGCTTCCAGAGTTTAAAAAAGGAATGAGATGACAACTGAATATGACAGAGAATCTGGGGTTTTCTTTTGCTACAAAGGGCATAGTGGGACAATTGGTGAAAGTTGAGTAAAGTCAGTAGATTAAAAATAGTACTGTTATCACTGCTAAGTTCCTGATTTTAGTCACTGTGCTGTGGCTGTGTAAGAGAACTCATTTGTAGGAAAAACAAGTATTTAGGATTAAGAGAGCATGACAGAAGGCAATTTACTCTTAAATAGTTCCAAAAAAAACTATACACACATGCATGAGTGCATGCACACCCACACACAGAAAGGTAAAAGAAAAGGACAAAGCAAATGTAATGAAACGTTATTTGGGGTAATCTAGGTGAAGAACATTCCTGAATTCTTTGTTGTGTTCTTGTAACTTATCTCTAAGTCTGAAACTCTATCAAAATAAAAAAATTTTAAAGATTAATCTGAATCTAGGGGTGCCTGGATGGCTCAGTCGGTTAAACATCCAACTTCAGCTCAGGTCATGATCTCACGGTCCGTGAGTTCGAGCCCTGCATCAGGCTCTGCACCGACAGCTTAGAGCCTG